GGGTGCTGTCTGAACCAGAAACACTGATTTACAGAGCAGCAAACTACCAGTTTTCACCAAATATCAGCCTCAGTGATATCCCACCACTTGGATCACTGGGGTGGTGTTAAAATTAGGCATCAAATTCTTTGACACTCCTCACATTGAAAGATGGGTTCTGTGTCCCCGGCCCTTGGATCTACCAGTTCTCTTGAAACACTTGCTCCAGATGCTCCCTCTCCGAACCCGGGTGCCATGAGGTGAGAAACCCATGCCCCCTGGAGAGCCACAGCAGCAGTCCCAGTTGAGCTCTGCTCTGAATCATCCCAGTGCTGGCACCAGACATTGAAGCAAAGGAGCTTGCAGACAACCCCGCCCACGACCCCCCCCCCAGCCACTGAGTCACGCCAGCCTTCTAGTCTCCCCAGCGGAGCCCCAAGACACCGCAGAGCAGCAACAAGATGTCCTCACCATGTGCTGCTCAGATCCCTGACCCATAAAAGCAGTTCTTAGAACAAAGGATTGTTGCTCGATGCCACTTAGTTTGGGGTGTTTTGCCCTGTGATTACTGGAATGGTTATGAAAGCGTTTTCTCAGGAAATATCTGCTGAACACAGAGAACAGACTGACAGCTGTCAGGGGTGGGTAGTGGAACTGGGTGCAAAAGGTGAAGGGATTAAGAAGTACACAATGGTAGTTACAGAAGAGTCACAGAGACGTAGATTACAGCAGAGGGAAGAGAGTCAGTAACATGGTGGTAACTGTGTGTGGGGGGACCATTCTGTAAAATATATGATTTGCTAACCACTGTGCTGTGCATCTGAAACTAACACGGAATGATGTTGAATGCAAATTAGAATTAAAACATTAAAATTTTAATTTAATTTAAGAAAAGAAATACCTAATAAAACACAAACACAGCACTTGGCAGGATAAACCGTTTCGAAGGAACACGCACGGTCAGTGTTCCCAGCACTGACACGAAGCATCACTGGATAAACAGACACGCGAGTTGCTTCCAGGAAACCGGAGGCAGAAAAATGGCCACACCTTGGTTAGAGCATGAGTGAGGAAAAAGACGTGAATCAGACAGACAGATGAGGAGAGCAAAGGCCAGTGTCATTCATTTCACAACTGTGCTTAAGGTTGGCGGCAAAATCCCTCAGCTCTCTCGCTAACTGCACAGTTGCTTGTATATGACAGTTTTTTCCCCAAAAATACTTGCTTAACGTTCAAAATCACCTGAGAATCAGACAGCAACAAGCACCAAAGGTAATTCTTACCACCAGGCAAGTGTGGGTAATACTCAATTATAGAAGTTTTCAATCAAATACAAAGCAACATAACAAACGTGGCACCCTTCTCTGCGAATCACAGTTCTATGGTGAGAAAGGAGTTAATCCATGAGCTTGTGTCTATCAAAACTGTGTACCAAGTTCTTGCAGACTTGAACCCTGAGAATGTTAATCCCACTGAAGTCCAGTTACAGTGATGTACAGGAAGAAGTTATAAATATTGAAATTCACTTGCTAATCAGGCACTACGATTACATTAAATGGTTTAAAATGTAATTGTAAAGAATAGTAAAATATAAGGAATAGTTAGCAAATATTTTAATTGATAAAATATAATATCAAGTATTCATGGTCTCATTCAAGCTATTATTCAATGCGATTAGAAATGATGGAGCAAGATCTGTAACCCGGACCCTCTGGGACTGAGAAAAGGACTGGAAATGTCACACAAAAAGCTGTGCATTGATTCTGCTTTAGTAACGAACACACTAACATGCACGCTGTTCCCAGCTTTCCACCGTCCCCATTGTTTTCAGAGAGACTTGAATCTTACATCAGATTTGTTTTTTAAAGATTTTATTTATTTATCTTTAGAAAGGAAGGGAAGGAGAGAGGGAGAGAAACATCAGTGTATGGTTGCCTCTCATGATTCCCCTGCTGGGACCTGGCCTGCAACCCAAGCATGTGCCCTGACTGGGAATCGAACTGCGATCCTCTGGTTCACAGGCCTGTGCTTAATCCACTGAGCTACACCAGTCAGGGCCTACAGCCTTCTAAAGAAACTGTGGGGAAGCTGTTCTGAGTCATGAATTCCCCATGCAACTGGTATGACTCCCAAGTTCTTCAGGAGATTTTCAGGGTGCTGGTGTTGATCTGTATCATTGAGCAGCTTATTAACCCCAAATCCCAGGTCCCACAGAGACTGAAAGCACTTTTGGCCTCTTTGAGCCTGTTCAAATAGATTTCTCTTGCCTCTTGAGACACTACTAATAGTTATAGGTATAGTTTCCCAGAGTAGAACTGACTCTGCCTCTGACTCCAAGCTTGTATGTATTGCAATTGATAAAATAGCCCTGGCTGGTGTGGCTGAGTGGATTGAGTGCTGGCCTGAGAACCAAAGGGTCACCAGTTTCATTCCCAGGCAGGGTACATACCTGGCTTGTGGGCCAGGTCCCCAGTAGGGGGCATGCAAGAGACAAGCACACATTGATGTTTCCTCTTTCTCTCTTTCTCCCTCCCTTCCCCTCTCTAAAAGTAAATAAATAAAATATTTTAAAAATAAAATGTCTGCTAAGCAGTTATTTGTATGGATATTGATGGGTATTGGAGGTCCAAGCAATAAGAACATGAGTCCCTTGTATCCTATCATTTAGAAGCCTAATATCATTTTGTAGACCAGTGGCTGTATAAAAAGAATTCAGACTGCGTATTCAATAGCAGAAAGTTCTGAGCCTGTGATCTCTCTGTTAGTCTCAGGCCTGTTGGACTTTCTGGCCAAGAGCTAGAGGCTCTGGCTGCTCACCACCTCGCTGTGTTATTCTGTTCTCTCCCCATCCCACCAGGGACGTCTCTTATACCAGTGTTACTGCCCTGCCATCCAAAGGCCTGGAGCACCTCAGGGAACTGATAGCAAGAAACACGTGGACTCTAAAGAAACTTCCACTTTCCTTGAGCTTCCTTCACCTCACACGGGCTGACCTTTCTTATCCGAGCCACTGCTGCGCTTTTAAGAATCAGAAGAAAATCAGAGGGTAAGTGGCAGGTGTCTGGAATAAGTGACGAAAGGCCTCAGAAAAAGTTGAATTAATTTCTGGGTTTGGAGAAGAAGCTTTGTGGTTTGAAAACCATGTGGAAAGAATTAGAAGCCTCTATAAGGAACATGAAATCCGTGGGACACAATGACTGCAGACTCAAAGTGGTTGCAGATAAGAAATAAGGCCAAGGTCAATGGATCACCGCAGGGGAGGGGAGGAGAACAGAAAATGATGTATGAGAGGCAGGAATGACCAGATCATGTAGAATCTTATCAAGATTACACTACAGGATTTCTGGCCTCCAGATGCAACACCCATTAGATGCCACAGTTATGAAGACAAACTTAGACACACAAGTAATTGGGTTACCTGGTCAATAAGGGCTTTGCAAAGGTTACAGCTTACTGGTTGCATGTGTGTGGACTGGGGAGTCTGCTGGGTTCATAGCCCACGTCTGCCACTTCTTAGCTGTGTTATCCCAGCCTACTTACTTAACCTCCCCGAGCCTCTGTGAATGGAGATCATGATGCTATCATTCATAAAGGTTTTGAGAAGATTACATATGAAACAATAGAAAACACCTACCATGACAACCTGGAATATTATAAGCTTTCAATGTATATCACGTTATGATTAGATTGCTTGTGAGGCTATAAAGGGGGGATGCCCTTTTTTTTCTCCCCATGCTTTCTCTTAATCTTCTCTTCACCTACACTTTCACTCTGCATTATTTCTACCTATGTCTCATGCAATCCCGTTCTCTTAACACCACCACCATTTATAGCTTATTCACTCTCTCTGTCTCTAAACAATACCTACCGCCTGACTTCTGCACTCGTACCTGCATTTGGAAATAAACTGGACCTAAGAGTGGGGCAGAAGCAAGTGGAAAAGTTGAGCAGCTGTGCAAAGGCCAACATGGGCATAACACCTGTAAAAATCTAGGAGCTTGGTATAGGGGTGACGAGAGTAAACTATACTGATGCCATAGGAGAGGACCAGGGATGTGCAGGAGGCTAAAATGGACTCCAAGTGCAGGGTCCAGATTTCCCACTGACCTCCAAGCAGGCTGGAATAGGCAGCCCACAGGGCATTTTAACCTAGTAGATGAAGCAACACCTGCTCAGCAGCTGCAGCAAGGTAAAGAGTCACTTTTGAGGTCAGTCTGGGAGGCTAATAATAAACTAAGTCTTACTCCCATGAGTGTGCCTGCATGATAATGTCCACTTATTCATTTGTTCAATAAATATTTATTCAAGACCTACTATGTGCTGGGCACTGTCTTATCCACGGCAATGAATAGGACAGCCAAGAGTGTTTTACAAGCAAACCATATATTAGATAATGCTATGAAGGAAATAAAAACAAGGATAGGATAATTTATTTAAGGAGATCATCAAGAAACCCTCTGACAGAGGGACATGGAATTTAAAATTGAATAATGAGCAGAAGCGTGAGTTTTTCAGGCAAAGGGATCATGGCATTCCAAAGCTCTGAAGAGGAATAACAACAATAACCACACATATACCGCACTAACCACATTCTAGGTGCTGTAGAAGAGCTTTAAAAGATGAACACATCTATTTCTTTAACAGTCTTATATGAAATAGATACTTTCATGATTCCATTGTTAAAGTGGAAGAAAACAAGGTTCACAGACCTGCCCAAGGTGAAGTAGCCGGTAAATAAAAGGGCCAGGTCCTAACGGAGGCAGACTGGCTCCAGCCTCCAAACCTTTTTTCTCACTACTGTTCTTGAACTGGTTCCAGATGAGAAATAAGGGCCAATATCGCTGGGGGACAGCAAGGAAGGGGAGGGTAATAGGCAGTGACATAGGAGAAGGCCTTCCAGGTCATGTAGGGTCTCATAGAATCATGTAGATCATAGTAGGCACTCTGCAAATTTTGCTGAGTGTTGTGGGAACCGTTAGTGGGTTTTCAGGAAGCAGTGACTTATTTCTGTCGCCTTGCAGGATCCTTGAGTCTTTAATGTGTAACGAGAGCAGTATTCGAAGCCTGCGGCAGAGAAAGTCTGTGAATGCTTTGAATGGTCCCCTCTACCAGGATTACGAAGAGGATCCAGGTGACCACAGTGCTGGGTACAAGGAAAACTCCAAGTTCCAGGATACCCACTCTCATTATTATGTCTTCTTTGAGGAACAAGAAGATGAGATCATTGGTTTCGGCCAGAAGCTCAAAAACCCACAGGAAGAGACCCTACAGGCCTTTGATAGCTATTATGACTACACCGTGTGTGGGGGCAATGAAGACATGGTGTGCACCCCCAAGTCAGACGAGTTCAACCCCTGTGAAGACATAATGGGCTACAAGTTCCTGAGAATTGCGGTGTGGTTTGTTAGTCTGCTGGCTCTCTTGGGCAATGTCTTTGTCCTGCTCGTCCTCCTCACCAGCCACTACAAACTGACGGTCCCGCGTTTTCTCATGTGCAACTTGGCCTTTGCGGACTTCTGCATGGGCATGTATCTGCTCCTCATCGCCTCCGTAGACCTCTACACCCACTCTGAGTACTACAACCACGCCATCGACTGGCAGACGGGCCTCGGGTGCAACACGGCCGGTTTCTTCACTGTCTTTGCCAGTGAGTTGTCAGTGTATACACTGACCGTCATCACCCTGGAGCGCTGGTACGCCATCACCTTCGCCATGCGCCTGGACCGGAAAATCCGCCTCAGGCATGCATCTGCCATCATGGCTGGGGGCTGGGTTTTCTGCTTCCTGCTTGCCCTGCTCCCTTTGGTAGGAATAAGCAGCTACACCAAAGTCAGCATCTGCCTGCCCATGGACACTGAGACCCCTCTTGCCCTGGCATATATTATCCTCGTTCTGCTGCTCAACATAGTTGCCTTTATCATTGTCTGCTTCTGTTATGTGAAGATCTACATCACAGTCCGAAATCCCCAGTACAACCCAAGGGACAAAGACACCAAAATTGCCAAAAGGATGGCTGTCTTGATCTTCACTGACTTCATGTGCATGGCCCCGATCTCATTTTATGCTCTGTCAGCGCTTATGAACAAGCCTCTCATTACTGTTTCCAACTCCAAAATTTTGCTGGTTCTCTTCTATCCACTTAACTCATGTGCCAATCCATTCCTCTACGCTATTTTCACCAAGACCTTCCAGCGGGATGTATTTATCCTGCTCAGCAAGTTTGGCATCTGTAAACACCAGGCTCAGGCATACCGGGGCCAGAGGGTTTCTCCAAAGAACAGCACTGGTATTCAAGTCCCAAGGGTCGCCCAAGACATGAGGCAAAATCACCCCAACATGCAAGATGACTATGAACTGCTTGCAAAATCCCATCTAACCCCAAATAAGCAGAGCCAAATCTCAAAAGAGTATAAACAAACAGTTTTATAAGCTGACCCTACACTCACCACTCTCTGTTGTAGAGGGGCTTAAAACATACTGGTTTCTTGAACATGTATTCCAACCCCTCCACACACACGACAGCTCACTAAGTCTTGTGCAGGTGACATTTCATTGGGTAAGAACTCATCTCTTGAGAGGAACTAGCATTAACCTAATAATCACCCCAAGAAGGAAGACAGGCTAACAGCATGTCTGAATCCCTGGTAATATTAAAATGATCTATACTTTCTAGAAGGCTTGCTTGGTGCTAAGTGCAGAGATGACATTATGTAAGATGCTCAACAGATGTCAACTCATCCACATCAACACTGCCCTTCTTACTGTTATACAGCATTTCATACAAAAGATTCCGCAAATGGCAAAAGAATACCTTAGCTGCAAGTCACAAAATAAATCAGCCACATGTTGGCTCAGTCCAAGTTCATGTTTCCTGATACAACCAGAGTTTGAGTTCCTCGAAAGTGAAAAGTCAAACAGGACAACATCACACAAGAAATGGTTCTTTTGAGGCCTGAATGAAGGAGGGGAAAGATTAGCTTTGAGTTGATTTTTTTCAGATTCTGAAACTATTAATCATCTCTCCACAAAGACCTACCTGATGTGACCCAACTATAATGTGCTGCCCAGGAAAACTGGCAAGATTTCAACTTATGTGGCCAAGCCAACCAAGAATTGTTCATCTTGGCTAGTCTCGTAGCCTAAAAAACTTTCCCATTTCCTGCTCTCACGTCATAAAAGGAAGTCTGGACGCAGGCACAGAGGCATCAGCATCAGCCCCCTGTTGGAAAAGGTGTGCTGGGGGAGAAGATACACACCACCTGCTCACATTAACCATCCCCTTCTTCACTCAGAAATATAAATGAACCACAAGAATTACCAGACACTTCAGGAAAATAAACCTCACATCAAAAGTACACACACAGCCCTGGCTGATGTAGCTCAGTGGACTGAGCGCGGGCCTGCGAACCATGCGATCGCGGTTCAATTCCCAGTCAGGGCACATGCCTGGGTTGCAGGCCAGTTCCCAGTGGGGGACACATGAGAGGCAACCACACACTGATGTTTCTCTCCCTCTCTTTCTCCTTTCCTTCCCCTCTCTCTGAAAATAAATAAATAAAATATTTTTTAAAATGGGGGGGAAGTACACACACAAAAGTATACCTTAAACAACAGAACATTTCACCAGAAAATAAATATGGTCCAAAACCAGAGTATTTTTTAAATTCTAATTAGTAACATCAGAGAAAATTGAAAAATAATTAGCCCTAACACAAAAGTGAGCTATTATTTTTTTAAAGTAGTGATCAAAAATGAAGTAGAATTTTGGCAAATTAAAAACTGAATTGCCAAAACAAGAGCTCTAATAAGGATTGGGAATTAAAGTACAAAAGAAGAAATCTCCTAGAATGTGGAACAGCTAAACAAAGATGTAAATGTGAGACAAAAATGGAAAGATATAGAAGATTATTCTCAAAGTCCATCATCTAGCTAAGGAGCTCCAGAGAAAATGTAGAAAACAATCATCGGAAACAGAAGGAAAAGCATACTTCTTGAGTTGGCAAAGATTGATAGTGTCTCCTGCATGCAAAGGGTGATGAATGAAAAAGACTCACTTGTAAAAGAGTTCTTACACCATGGACACAGACTACAGTGTGGTGGGGGGGATGACAGGGAATGGGGAGGGGTGCTGAGATAAGGGGGTGAAGGGGAGAAAAAGGAGACATCTGCAATAGCGTCAACAATAAGAACAAAGGAAAAAATAAAAGAATTCTTAAAAAAATGTCAGAACTCCAAAACTGCAGGGAGATCTAAAATGCTTAAGAGAGTAGCAAGCAAGAAAGAACACTCAGGTATTGGAAGGGATAAACAAGCAGGTTGATCTTTAACTTTGCATTAACAACGCCATACACTAGATGACCATGGAGCACATTTTGAAAGCCTTAGAGAAAAAGTATTTTACACAGAAGATTCTATACACAGCCAAATTATCATCCAAGTATAAGGTGAAATAATGACATGTTTATATATGTATGTACTTGGAAAGCTTACTTCGTCAGACAAATTATTCAAAACTTGGAAATAAGCAAAAAGATAACCAGGTGTTTTGTGGGATTGTTGGGTGTTTTTTGGTGTGGTGCTGGGCTTGACTTCCTAGTCTCTGGGTCATTTTGCGACTCTGTAGGAACAGAGGTGAACTCATCCAGAGGATGTCTATCTGCCAGGAACTCAAATAACCTCTGCACTGCACATGGCCACATCAGACGTTAACCAGATTGTATTTAACCCAGCAGTCTAACCCTAACACTTGCAAAACTGTGTATCAGTACGTAGCTTCTGAAGTGCTTTGGACCAATTTTGCTGGTTTCTTCATTAAATTATAAGTTAAATAAAATATTTGACAAGTGTTTATTTTATATTTGCATGAGAGTCATTTCTTTTAAGTTCCCCATGTTCCCCTTTCTGAAAAATTACTTGAAATTCAGACCTGGCTGGTGTGACTCAGTGGACTGACTACCAGCCTAAGAACCAAAGTGTCACCAGTTCAATTCCCAGTCAGGGCACATGCCTGGGTTGTGAGCCAGGTCCCCAGTTGGGGGCACGCAAGAGGCAACCACATATTGATGTTTCTCTCCCTTCCTCTCTAAAAAAAGATAAATTTTTAAAAATTACTTGAAATTGTACTTCAGATAAAATATAATTTCCTTCTCAATGAATGCTAACACACAACCAGTTTGTGTTAATAATATTTGTATGCCATAATACTGTAAATACTGTTGGCCTTTCATTTTTGAATCAAATCATGTGAAATACCAATAGAGTGATATTACAAACTCTAACAAGTCACACAAGTCAGGAGTGAGTGGGGGACACAGAGAGGGGCAGAAAATGGTCAAAGGGCTAATTTCCTCTGTCACAGGGGGGAAGAGAAGGAAGACCACCACAGTTAACAGAATAAGATACGGAAATTTGTTTTCTAAGGTTACAAAGTCAACCAGCTGAAAAAGTTAAAATTAATACTGGCAAAAACTTTTTAAGCTGGGAGCTAGGAGATAATGCTAAGTCAACTAATCTCCTAGTCATCATTATATGTAGGCAAAAGATATACTGTCTAAATATCTACAATTCAAAAAAATAGGTGCATAAGTACACAACAGAATTCTAGTACAAATCATCTTAACTAAAGTCAGAAAATGGCTGAAAGTGGTCTTCTCTGCAGATCAGGGAGGATGTATTGAGTGGTGTTTTGGATGGAATTGTGTCCCAGTTAAACTCACACACTGAAGTCCGAACCTCTAAGGGGACTATGTTTGGGGGTAGGACCTGTATGGAGGTCATTAGGTTCTCATGACGAGGCCCTAATACCACAGGACTAATGTCCTTATAAGAAGAGGAAGAGACACCAGAGACTCATACACACACAGAGAAAAGGTCGTGTGAGGACACAGCAAGAAGGTGGCTGTCAGCCAGCCGGCAAGAGTGCCCTTTACCAGAAGCTGAGTCTGCCAGCACGTCCATGCTGGACTTCCGGCCTCCGGAAATGTGAGAAAAACGAGTGTCTGTTGTTTAGGCCGCTCAGTCGGTGGTATTTTGTTACAGCAGCCCAAGCAGACTGATACAGATGGAAACTTTTCCAAAGGTGCTCTTTTGTACTGGTGATTTTTTTATGATGTACATAATTTTGTATTCAAATGGAAATTATTATAATATTAGACTTTAAGATAATGAACAATTACAAATGTGACATTTAAAGAAAGGGAGAGAACAAGTCATTTAACCAGGTAATTGACTACTGTGCCTTGGAGTGATAAGAGGGAGAGGCAGATACCACACTGAAGGCAACTTGAACAATTATTTAGCCATTATGAAACTGAGATTCTTAGAATGTACTAAATCTAAGCCAGTGAGTTTTAAAGTGCTTCCTTTGTAACAACATCTGGTAAGCTAAACAAAAAGAAAGTAAAATCCCTTTATAATTTATTCTATTTTCCAGCCCAATCATATTAAATCAGAATTTTTCTTTCTCATATACGGGGGGGGCAAAAAATGGAAATTTATTTATAAAAAATGTGCCTTTATTCTTATGTGTTTAAACTTTAGTCACCTCCAAAGTACTCTCCATTTGATACAATACACCTACAGAGACATTTTTTTCCACTGCTCAAAACAGTTATGGAATACATCGTTTTTTATGCCGTTTCATGGTTTTACCGTGTTTGTTTTACCTCTTCTGCATTGGCAAAACATTTCCCTTTGAGGACTTTTTTCATCTTGGGAAACAAACAGAGTCACTCCGGGCAAGGTCAGGTGAATGGGGAGGGGAGGGCAAAAGGGTCATGCCGTTTCTTCGGTCAAAAAATGCTGAACACTGAACGTGGTGTGGGCAGGTATGCTCATACATCACAAAACAGACGCATTGAGATTCTTCGAAAAAAATTCACTAAAGCTAAACACAGCCTCTCACAACACCACCAGCTGGTACACTGACACAGATGGGTTCCTAGAACACTCACCTAGCAAGGGAAGCCTGAACTACAAGGGGCCCACCCTCCAGAAGATAATCCTGGGTGTTTGGGGTCTCCCCTAGTATACATTGGGAGACTGTACAATTCACAGTCAAAAACGGCATTACAGCCCTAGCTGGTGTAGCTCAGTGGACTGAGCACAGGCCTGTGAGGTAAAGGGTCGCTGGTTCAATTCCCAGTCAGGGCACATGCCTGGGCTGCAGGGCCAGGTCCCCAGTGGGGGACGCATGAGAGGCAACCACACATTGACGTTTTTCTCCCACTCTTTCTCCCTCCCTTCCCTCTCTCTAAAAACAAAACAAAACAACAACAAAAAAACAGCATTGCAGATCTGCCCGTTACGTGTGAAGTAATATTTTGACTATGGCCTATTTATAAGGTATTCCTGTGACTCAGTTTTCTATCCCTACCAGCGATGTAATGTAAGGACTAACCCCAAAGGGAGTTGCAGAGTGGTCTAAAAGAGCCTCGGCTCTCTGGGCTGCTTTTCAAGTTTCTCAGCAAGGGCCATATTAAATAGATAAGGAAAAAGTTTGTGAAAAACAAGACTAGTATAGAGTCATCCCTGCGTTTTGTTTTGGGGGTTTTTTTTGTTGTTGTTTTTAGCAAATCCCAGGCTTAAATTGTGTTACATGCCGCTCAAAAATGCTTCTGGAACGATAGCAGACAAATTTAAATATTGTCAAACTAGATATTGGCAAGTGATTTGCGGACCTGGGAATATGGGGTTGCTAGGGTTTGTTGTGAACGACAAATACAGCCATTTCATTACTCACTCTCAGCTCTTTCTCTGATTTCTCCAATGTTCCGTAAGCAGTCTCACTGAAGAACGAGGGGAAGTATTAATAGCTTCAGCAAATGTTGGAGAAATGAGATCCCCTGGCCAACTGATGCCAGTGTCCAGATGAAAGAGGAGATGCCTGACATCATACCTGTTTTCACCATCTGCGGGCCAGCGGACAGAGGGAAAAAGTGAGCACACGCCTCTGGCTCTCATAGCCCTTCCCAGACAAGGAGCAATCCAAGTTGCTCCTTGATGCTGTTTTAATTAGTGCAGCTGAGCCGCTAGTGGGAGCACTACTGAGAGGAAGTTAGAAGTATTTTCTTCTGCTTCTTTAACTGATTGACCATCCAGCCTACGTAATACCAATGAGTTGTCTCCAAACCCCCGCACCCTGTAGCCACACTCTCTCTACCACCTGGAAGACCCTGAACCTACACCAACCCTTCCAACCTATCCTAGTCCCCAAACCCTCTCTCTAAGCATTCACGCTCTTCTGTCTCTCTCTGAATTGTAAAAATGACATGACTGTGCCCCTCACGCCATCATAAAACGGGGGAAAGGGGCAGTGTGGTTGATGCTGCATCTGGGATATATTCAGAAACTTTTCAAGAACCGTTTTCACGTCTCCGGCCATGGAAAAGGTGAGAAGGTGCAGAGCATAGTATCAGGGATGGTACAACGGTTCAGAAGCAGGGATAGTAATTGTATACGAGAAAGAAAACTGTGGCTAGTGCATCTTTATCATGGGCCCCAGACAGCTGAAAAGGAAATGCAGGAGCTAATAATTTCACACTTACGTGGCTGCTGCTTACAGTAATTACTGTCGTCCACCATGCCTGGGGAAAGAGTCTTTAACTTTTGATGTGTCACTAACAACCACAACAAAGTCAGTGGTTGGAAGATATGTCCAGGGGCGTCTAATCCACCTACTTGCTTTAAGGTTTTATTGAATGAACCTTTTCAAAAATGCCTAAATCAACCCTCCACTTTGTCTGGCACAAAGTACTCTTATGTACTAAGAGATGTCCTCATTTAAATAATTAATTGAAAGACAAAGCTCTATTCATTCATTTATTCAAAGAATGAGTTTAGGGAAACACCAAGAGGCTGGAAAATTACATTATCCACTGATCTTAATTCCACAGTGATGTTTGGAAGCTACTTCTGATAAATCTCGGCTCATCCTGATAACTGCTTCTGTGACTTTGGCTTTCCAATGACCAAGCTCTCAGAGAGCTGTCTACTAAGTGTTCAGTGGAAGCTTGGAAGTCAATCACCACTGATTTGTTTTCTTAGTAGCCTGTATTTCCTCCGAGTGTGCTTGCTCTGAATTAACTG